CCAGCGCAACCCTCGTAGCACGCAATTCATTGCCATTCGCACAGTTATCCATTTCATCGACAGACACCGTAAATCAGTTCTCTCGACCCAGATAAACAGTAACAGCCTGATCACAAATTACTGGGAAAAAAACCCTCAAGCTAATGAATTATCCCTAACCAGGTTCTTTTCAATGTGGCAATGAGTTTAGTTTAATCCCGACGCACTAATGTTTCAGTCATAACTGTTGAAGAACACAGCTCTCAAAGTTACCCAGAATTTCAAAGGATTCGATGAATAAGCAACACTGACGAGTTGCAACAAACTGAATAGAACACAATTACAGGCTGAATTCAAAATCAGCACCAGTTAACCTCCATTCGTCCTAAACAAAATCCTGATCAATGAGAAACCATCTGTTATGGTAGCAAAATGAACTTAACTCTTCGTGTTGTAAAAAATGAAAATATTTCTCGATAATTTCTGTTCTGAATGGGGAAACCTCAGCAGTAAATTTGGGTGAGATAGGTGCAATGAATTGTCCAGTGTGATTTGATTCATTTCACGTTCATACCGGGGTCTGGTAAACAAATTCTGCCTACCCCGCTAGGTATGGCATGTTGAGTCTAATTTAAGACATCTAGGTCATTTTCGTGAAGTGCCATTGGCAGGTAACTTCAAGAGTGCTCTGAATAAATAGGATTCGACAATTAATGTAAACAGAGCAGACAGTCTGCTGTTTATTGTATAACTACGTGCTGAGTTTATGCAAACATTGGATTTTCGCACCCGATGATTTTCAACAGAGGCGGATCACATAAATCAATCGATGAGGAATCACACACACACACACGGATAAACGTGCTTTGCTCTTTTGGAATCACGTGATTTGGTTGGATTCATTTTTAGTAGGCGTATTGCGTAAACCATTGAGTGTATGAAGACTAAGGTGTTTGTTTGCGTGAAAAGTGTCCGTCCATAATTTGACGATGAAATACGATTTCGGGGCTTACGAAATGTGAATCTGGTTGTGGTGCGTCGTGATTTTGCAGTACAAATCTTATAACTGCTTAAATAATAAGATGCATAGATCTTAGACAATGTTAGCAAAAAAGACAACTTTGCTTTATTCGTTTGAGAAACCACATTTTTATTTGTTTTCAGGTATCTGAGCCATGCGGAGAGGTTTGTTTTTAATTTTACAAATTACTTCCATCTTATATATAGCAACGAATAACTGAACTGGAAAACCGATCAGGTTCGATTCTGTTAGATTTCATCTGCAATATGTTTTTGCCGACAGGAAGAACGCAATCATACTGTACCATTGACCATTGAGGTTCCCGGTTCAAGTTGCATTTGGGTTGATGGATTTGCACTGTCGATCAGCTTTACAGGGCTTCTCAAATTAACGATTTTACATTACCTTTGCTACGTATACATTAAAACTAATTGAGGAATAAGAATAATTCCTCTTTTTTACTTATCTTATCATAAATAAACATTCTTACTCAGGCTTTATGTTGCAACATTTTGGAAAGCGTTCATTGGAGTACATTCCAAAGATTGAAAAAAACTGAGGCCTAAAATTGAAATTATCTCAAACCAAATACCAGAACAGAAGCCTTGAATGATATTAACTTGGGGAGGTTCTGTGAATTAACTAGAGCAGTATGAAGGATTATTGTAGTTATTTAATAATAATCATTCATGTATTGGTATCTTTGATCAAATAATACAGTCTAATCTTCACCGTTACTAGTAAGGAAACCTACTTTCAAAAAATCAGAGATTGTCTGCTCCCGACCATGTGACCGAAAAAACAAGATGGGTTTAAACGAGAGAACGATAGGGGTCGACGATTCCGGGAAAATGGGAGAGCTACCGCTGACAACGGTGAGGACGGGGTTACCTTCCTTCTGAATCTCAACTACGAAAGCTAGTCAGTCACACTACTCCGATTAGAACCCTCACCTGTGACTTGATTAAGTACGGTTTGAATTTCTAACACTCAAGAACAGAACCCGTTGTTTTGCAAACGCCTGTGTGTTGCGTGAAGTCTGTCGAGTACGAAAATGCGGCAGTGGGTAATATGGACTGATCAGCCTGTGTTCACCTTGCGACACCAAGGTTTACATGTGGTGATCAAGTGTGATATGCATGAATGGTGCTGTAGCAAATCTCAATGTACAAGACTACAGCGGTTACGTCTAAATTTATAGAATACATTTAGTAGTCGGGGGGAATAGTTTTGTTAACCTAACTGGATAAGTTAATGGGGGTAATTTAGTCGACATTCTCATTATTTGTCTGTTTCTTCAGATGTTAAACACTGAAAAATAGATCATGGCGGATAAGAATGCCCGATAACGTCTCGCTCCTGGATTGTGCCGGATTGGGAACTGCACCCCGTCTGAATCGTCTCCCTTTCTCCCTTCGCCATTCTGTCTTCCGGCTATCAACACCATGGAAAACATTCAGGATTTCGTGGTCAGGTGAATGAAAGAGGTGTTTATTCCACACCTCAACAGCCTAAGAGAGACTTTAGAAAAGGTGTGGGAAACAAGGGCAAATTACTACAGGCAGAAATCCATCATCGGTAGAATTCTCCAATCAGTTCAGTTCAGTTTTTACAACCATTAATCATGCACTTTCGTGCGCCGGTTTTGGTTGCTATCTTTTGGTGCCCCATTTGGATAAAAGAGCAGAATGTTGAAAGCAAATTCAAGCGAAAGATAGAGAATTCATATAGAATGGTGTTAAGGAAATAATGAGTGGCTTAGATTTTATTTGAAATTGTACACCAATCGTCACACCGGAGAAAACATAACAAAATAGACAAATCCAATGGAGTGCTGTGTAAAAAATGTCCCCGAAGTTTGATTCATTTAAATAAACATTGACGTAATTCATTTATAACTCGTTCCTTATTTGTCAAGATTCGAGCCAGATATGCTATAAATGTTTATTCGAGAGGGTAGATACCGATAAGAGGAATGAGTAATCGAGTGGGAGTGACAAGAAGATAACTCAAGATGCAAAGGATGCGTTCTGTGATTAATGACTCGGCAGAAATTAAAGATGCACGGTTTATTATCATTATTACACGACGGACAGTTTTAACGTCGTTTAACTACACCGGGAAACACTTCAGGCAGCAATAAAGTAAAATAGGGAGAACGCATTGATTCACAAAGGAGAACAAAACTTGTTTGGGAATGCGAAGTTTTCTGAGCTTCCGAAGCTGAAAGAAAAGGTACCAAAGTCTTCCCATACAGTTCTGAGTGTGTCGACCACCGAAAATTATTATCAATAGTAACACCCAGGTATTTGGTTATTACTGAAGATTGGATTCTAGTGACTACCGGATCAATGACCAGTATACCATAGCACCGCGTTTGCTTACTAAATCCGTGATGAAAGTATTGTACCTCTTAGATTTTTGGATTATCTCCGCTACAACATGCACGATAGTCGTCATTTTTGAGAATCTAGATGGATACCGAATGAAAAGCCGAAATACAAAACTACATCAAATTATCTTTCATATACAGCAACTGGAAACTGTGGTGAGTCAGTGCTCGACGCCTTTGTTAATGATTCTGCAGGGACAAAGGCGTCCATGTAGGTCAGTACAAGTCATTACCAACCGTGAAGCGTTGAAAGAGGCGTAGTGATAACGAGAAATGAAAAATGGATGTCTTTCGTAAGATCAATGGCAGCATATATGAGATAACCATACAGTGTAATGCGTCCCGATCGCTAACGGCACGATATGTGGGGCGATCACAGTCAGAGACCAGTGATAAGCAGATTGGAGACCAGAGGAAGCTCTCGATACATGTGGCCTCAAACTCGGTGAGTCATGCATCGGATATGAACATGATGCTTCGGTGTGAGCGATGCGACGAGTGCTCAGAACGGTCCCCTAGTGAATCCAACCACTCGCATTCTAGCAGGAACCCAACAAAGTGATGAGTTCTGCCGACTGAACTAATTAGATCGGATACATCAAAATCCAGTCAGAGTGGGCTGATTTCTCTATAGACAAGTGAACTTTTAGATTGAGTTGCCGAGCGAGGTTGAACGTTCCGGTGTGGTGGGGTTTGATTGTTCGTCTCTCCACGAGCCCACCCGGAACCTTGATAGTTGACTGTGTGAACGTTAGACGAGAATGAACAAACCCGGTTGTAATTGACCTCGGTCGACCAAATAAGGACGTCAGTCACGTCAAAATGGATTAATAACTCGCGTACTCTGGTTACCATGCTCAGGCGTGAATGTTGGAATAAATCATTGCATGAATCGGTTCAGCCTAGGCCCTTAGTAGCCTAGTGAGCAAATTCTATTAAGAAACAAGTCCCCTCGAATAATATCGATGCCTTTGAGCCCAATGTTATTGTCCACATATTTCGGGCATTGAAAAACACACCTGACAAGTTACTTATAAATGGTACAAGGATACAATGAAAGAATCAACAGTATTTCACCTGAATGACAAGATTGAATTTGAACTCATTCAATAGCTTACAGAAATTACATTTTTTCTCTGTAACTTCCAAAGACCATAATCTGTCACCTACAGCTTGTCTGTTTGTAGCTTACCTTTGTCGCATATTTTATCATCCTAGTTCCATCTTTTCACAGCACGATTACATCTGTGTGATCCTTATAGTTCAATGAGTGGAACGTGTGGTGGTAAGAATAACTCACAATTATTCATGATTCTACAAAGGATGCTTCAGAGGATATAGAATATAAAAATTTGCCAAGCTTCACGAACTTTACAAACGGAACAGTGTTTATTCTGGGCTGTAACTTCATGTCACCTGTACAAACGAGACTCTAACTGATAGCTTGGGTTATACGACTGAACTGAATATGCGCAGTATTTACCGCGTTGCGTTGAATACCCGGTGAACGTGACTGCTTTTCTATCAGTGAGTTGCTGGGGTGAAGTCTTTAAGTCGGTTTCCGGACACCATAACGTTTGAAGTACCAGCTACAATCCTCATAAATTCATGATGCGCCCTCATTGTGATAAGCAATCTAATGTGGGAATCAAAATGAGTAAATTACTGGAACCAGAAACATCTCCCGACATTCGGACAATTGTGCACGATGTTCAACAAGTGGAAATTCACTTCTGGTAGGAAGTAACTTTACTGCTTAAACTACCCCCGGTAACACGGCTTACTACATAAACGTATCCTCAATGGGAATAACCCACAACTTCATCACTAGAATTGGAGTAGATAATCACATCAAATTCTACTGGGGAATCGCTTCTGTCAGAAAATACACTGCATAAAAACGATGTGCGTGATAAGTGGCTTCATTGACATTGGAAATCAATAAACCTGCGTGCTGATTTCTGTTGCTTCGCGTATTCAAAAGAGTAGTTCTTATTTGGGGCCATATGGTATAATCTTCTGTAACCAATTTCACGCTATACTTACTCATCATTCCTACCCTTTAATACAATGATTTACTAGCAAAGTGAAGTTGAATAATATAACTTCAAAAATGTCGTACGATGTGGTAACGCAGCCCCTGAGGAGATCAGCTTGTGTTTTAATGTCCTGATACTTCCCGATAAGTCATTTGGAAAGAAAACCAGAAAGAGGCAAATAAATAATCAACATAAAATAATAGTAGCCATGGCAGACGAATGACAGCTTTTAGCCGTCTCACACACGAGACTTCAAGTTTCTAATCGTTTAAAACCAATCAATATATTATTATTTTTGTTTTCACACACGAATTCATCATTTTATGGTAATTTGCTGAATTTTTTTGATGAGAAATCCATTGAAACAGACGAGGCTTGCTTTTCATCTCAGAGGGCTGTAACAACGGAGCCTAGAGCTTAATTCAGCCAATGTTCTCTTCTGTCCTCCTAAATGGAAAATTTTAGAAGTACACCACATGTGTGTTCGAAGGAGGACTCACAATGAACACACGACCTAAAATATATCCCATACATAATATATAAATACGTACATACATACATACATACATACATACATACATACATACATACATACATACATACATACAGATACATACATACATACATACATACATACATACATACATACATACATACATACATACATACACATACATACATACATACATACATACATACATACATACATACATACATACATACATACATAATCGAGAAAAATCGTTTGGATGGAAATAATCCAGTTATTCTATAGATTAAGCTATTAAAATATAACATCACAGAATGCGATTGTTTTCTATTGAGTTTGTATGATTGAGGATAACTGGCAGCATACTGTTTTGATAATCTTCTAGAAGTTCCCCGTCAGTTGAAAGGAACAACGCAAAATAATAAGTTCACATCGTTTAAAAGATTTACGCATTGATCTAATTTATTGAAAATGTGATCTGTGTGTCGTGCATTTTCGATGCTATGTTGTATTTATTTCAGATCACGTGACATAGATATTTTGGCTTTACACGGCATCGCAAACTATTAAAGCCATGCGTTTATTTTCTCTCTATAAATCTTCAAACACACAGAGATGGGTTTCTTATTCTGCCAATCAATGATGCTGATCACATGTGGAAAATCCAATCAGCGTTTACCATTGCCTCCTACACAGTGACATGCAAACGAGAACATTAAACTGAAAAGAAGAAGGATAAAGTGATTTCCTTGTGTTGAAAGCGCGGTGCTCACTCTTCTATCCGTTATCGTGGTCAGCAAAATGGACGACGAAGCATTCTATAACGCGTTTCGCGCCGAAGCAACTGGACCGCCCAGTGGAATCAGTGCGAAAACATTCGAGGATATTATTCGAAAAGATAAGGCGAAAGCCGATTTTATCAAGGTAAGCGACAAAGAATTTTTCTCATGCCCTGTTCGATATGACGCTAGCTGTTTTTGCTTACTAGTTGGCTGTTTGATCCTATTCGATAATTTTTGTACACAAGCACACAGGCACTGATGATATCACCTCGGCTGGTGATGAAACGTTTGCAAACAAATTGCCAAGCTCGGCGAACAGGCAAAATGGAACTTATATTCGTATTTTGTGGGCTTTTGAGCCAGTATTTCATTCAAAGTTTTTTCATAGACCACATATAAGGATTTCAAACAATCACAACAGTATGAAATGACTATGCTATGAATAGCATACCTTCACAGTCTGAGACCAGCACCCAAAGCATGGGCTACTTTGTTCTTACGGACTAGTGCACGAGCTTGATGGGGAACAACACAGTTCATCCATGATGACTGACGGAAATAATGAACACTCGGAATTAGGGAGAACAACGTTTTGAAATCACAGGATACAGTGGGTAAGAATGTTCACAAAGGGCTTTCACTGTAAATATTTTGCATCAATCAATCTACGTGCATGCCACATAACTGTTCGCATAGTTCATCGAGAGGATTATCAGAATTATGACAACTGTGAAATCCTCCGTGGGCGGATTGAGAAAAACCGTGAGAGAAAAGTATAACATTAGGAGAATAACATAGTTTCGGGCAGAAGTGAAAATGATGGATTGTTGGACAAATCGTGTCTCATGCAGGAGAACTACAGAAGATTAGTGAGTATATAGTGTCACGTGAAGCAACTTGGTTATTGTCTGCCCGAGAAGGAGAGTGACCTGAAGAGTGATGAAATCAATTGGGAATCTGAAACGCGAAGGAATGAAAAAATTTGCAACATTTTCACCAGTTTAGATGCAAACAACGTCCATCACCACAAATTTTAGATTTGAAAGCTTTTTGTGAGCAGTATTTGCAGGAGTTTACAAGAAAATTTCATTAAAATTAAATTAAAATTAAAATTAAATTTCATTAAAAATATCTTCAGATAATATTAGCTGTTTTCCTTGTGAAAATTTTAAACACATGGCATCCGACGGATGCCACTTTGAGGATTCCATCCTGCCCTTTAGTCGATGCCGTTAAAGTTCTTCTCTTCATCCAATCTGTTCGATCAGCTGCATGATGCCCTTGACCTTCTCCAGTCGCGACCTTTAACCTAACACATTTCTGTGTTTCATTGTCGAGTTTCACCCAATCGCTTTGCATCACCTCATAATACACTATCAATCGTATGCGTTTTTACCGTGTACATGTAACCGAATAATTGTAGTGATCGAAAATTGATTAGTTCGGTCTAACCACTTGCGACCATTATTTATACATGCATCTCATTAGCATTAACTTGTGAAGCTCATCCGCTGCTTCGGGAGCGGTTATGGTTACTCGGGATTTAGCACGTATTACGCTGATCCTCTATGGGCTCTTCGTGATTACATTGCTTGTTTTTTATTCACTTTTATCGTTACTTTCCTCTGAAGTAGAACCTCATCTCTGTACCAATCACACTTAGTTGTTCTGGCTTGAATTCTCCTTGGCCGAGCGCGTATCTCATCAAGAAAATCGGAAGGACTTTATTTCTCATGAAAAACTGAGGTTCCTCTCCTTTGGGTTCTGTAATGCAAAACTGAATTTGACTTGAGTGAATCTGAATTGAATCTTCTATATTGAATTTAGAAGTCAACAAATCCAGCATCTCTTCAAGTCGGGTGACGCGGTTAAAGAGTTAGCCCTCCAGTTATAACGAATGTTACACACGTTCTTTGTCACAGGCTGCTGGTCTACCAGTATCAATGCTAATGGTTTTTTTAGAATAATGCGATGGTAGATGCTAATTCATATTTTACAATCATCATTGCTCCAAATCCGTGCCTATTAGCTCTGGGATGAAGGAGGGATGATCAAGAACTTTTTTCTCTTTTATTTTTGCATTCCTAACGTTAAAGATCATTTCATGATTAAATATGAAAATGATCTCGCAGCTGGTTTGAACCTTGACACAAATTCCCAACGTCCTTACATCCAAGCTACAGTAAATTGAATGGATTTTTAGTGGTCTGGTCATTCTCCACTTTACCAATTACTACCTTTAAATGCAGAGAAATCCAGTTCCTACCTGCTGAATGGTAACACCTACTGGTACTATATCACAAGTGGTTTGAATTACACTGTGGTGATCCGTTAATCCATCCAGTTCACAATTAGAATTTCATTGGCGTCACATCATCTCAAGGTCTGACGTATTGTTATTATTGAAAAAACTATTCAAAAACAGTCACTCTGGTTTTGTGGTGACATTAAGATGTGTGCACGTCCCGCAATATTTCCTCTCCCACACTTTGTAGACAGATACGTTCTCTACCAAGTGCCTACATGCCCCTCTTACTATTGTCGATTAGCGTCTTAAGGCCTACCGAGACAAGAAGACAATTACCAGCCCTAGTAGGACCTAAAACCCAAATCAGTGGTGAAACACTTCCGTTCTCTCCTTCTCTAACTTCTTCTCACAACATCTGTTGGGTAGAACTCATTCGCCTAATCCCGCATTAAGTATCCAATATCAATTTACCTGTCCGATCACTTCGGGAACAGGAAACAAAGTTAAACTTTGACCTGCTCGCTCAACTGCCTACTATCAGTCTGTCGTTCTCGATTTTAAAATTTCTTTAACGTCTCAATAAACACCCGGATCACAAGAGTTTTCACCTGAATACAACCTGCTCCTTCCATGTGATTTCCTGTTTATTTATTGCATTTGATGCTGAGCGGAGCACGATGCTAAAAACGACGAGTACAGATTTTTTTAAATAATGTGATAGCATGTGTAAACGGGAACATGCAACTGTAAATCGGCAACTCAACATTTGGTAGTTTGAAGAGAGCGGAAAAAATAATCTTTCATGGCCACAACCAGCTCTGAGTTTTGGGCTGTTTCGTACGATTTTCTTGTCATTTTCTTTTCTCTTCACGGAACAGAAATGGACCAATATTTTTAACGAGGAGTCCAGCGCATCTCCTCCGGTAATTATGCGAGACAAACCGCAAAAGCCGTGAGTTTTAGCCCCTACTTTGTTACATAAGTCAATATGTTGATTTCTTAACAAAGACATGGAGAAAAAAATAATTCTGTTTACCATTATTACCGAGAATTACTTTTATGATTAACATGGTTGTGCACTATAACTATTTAAAAAATAAAATTTAATAACGGAGACAGTGATAGTATCATTCGTGAGTATAGTTCAAATGTGTTACCAAACAGAGAACCTAATGAGCAGTAGAGCTATTGCAGGAGAACAGATTACAGAAGTTGTCAAGATTGTACATGAATTTGATAAAACAGGACACCGTTTTTCTCCAGTAATATTCCCGAATTCCTAATTATTTCGCTACACATACTACTAGTAGTCAAATCTTGACCGAATACAGACTTGAGAAGCTGGTTACATTGTGCTAGAGTGCAAAAGCTCACAACAATCAAGACATGCCGTAAAAGGTCAAATAGTGCATGATTTAATAAACTGTTAAATGGCTACTGCAGTTTCTTGTTTTGAGATACCCGTATGCACACGTGTAATGTCGATGGTACAGAGCAATAATGAAGTAACACCAAAACGTTAGTCTGAATTTCATTTCAGTTTTCTATATCTCGTAAGTATTACAGCACTTTCAGTGATCTGTTCCACTCACAAGATACCCAACTCTACCAGAAAGTTGCACAGTCCTACAGTTTCCTCTTTCAAACATATTTAAACAGTCCTCATGAGCTTGCTATCAGAAAACAAATGTCATATAAAGGCCTGTTTTGACACTTGGCTGTCTAATCCACGTGATATAATGCAAATAAGCTTGTAACAGCTAGAAAAGACCTGTCAACCAGTGCAGTGCACTCAGAAGCAATCCTTACTAAATCATGCAATACGCACAGATTAGAAGACCAACTAGAAAGCAGAGTCATTTACTTTTGAAAGTATTGGATACTGAGTGGGCTGTCGGAAATCTTTAACTTTTGGTATACGATGTTACCTGGGTTCATCACTCCTGTCTTACAGCGAATATTATTGAGACAGGCCGAACTTGTTTACAAAACGGGGTGTTCTCTCTGAAATCAATTTTCAAAAACAGCCTGAAAAATGTTTAAAACAAAAAAGTGAGCTTTGCGGAGGCGACGATCTTCCAGATGGTTGTTGTATTACTGACATTATTTCCTGTTTCTTTTGGATGAGGATAGAGAAGCGTGACACAAACCTGTTCCATTGCAACTCAGAATTGATGAATACGTGATAGAAAGCTCAGAAGAAGAATCGGTTTTATTTCCGGAACAAAAGGAAAAGAGATGTTTGAATCCACTTAAGGAATGTATACCGTCATCCGTGACTGTCCATTTGCATTACAGTGAACTCTCATCATCCTCATTTACTTGTTTGAGGCGGCAAGGACTCATAGTTTGTCATAAGACTAATAAGCTAAGTTTCTCCTCGAAATTACTATCTGAAAACAAAGCTATTACTCTCACCTTTTAATTTCAAATGTCGCTTTCATTTTGCTTTTTAAAACCAAACAGTGTTTCAGTATAGCTCCAATACAAAAATCAGTCTCGTCACCATTGCAAAGACTCTTGCTATTTTTGCATGACATAAAAGTACTTCCAGTTCATCTGACTGCTTTACAACTACTATAATCTTAAAGTCCACTTCGTTCGGTATTCCTAAGCCAAAAGCAAGGCTTAGCTGAACTTATTGGGACCATTTCTTCTCCTGTCGTGATGAGAAGACGTCCAAGGTTAATGCAAGCATTTTAAACGATAAACCAATTATTGATGTTAACTTACCATCCTTTAGACTCCGGTCATTCGTACGATCAAGAAAATCTAGACTCTAGTTTTGCCCCTTCTAGATCTCATCAGCAGTCCATTTCTGCCGTCCCGTTCGGGATTTAAATTCCGGACCCATTACATGTAAGGTATGTGTTACCACTGTGTTGATCAGCTCACAACAAGATGACTCGTATTACTAATAATTACATATATGCATATATAATCAATCTTGACATATATGATGCCAAAGTAACGATGGATTGAAAGAAAGCTATGAAAGCAGAACAAAGAATAAAAAAGAGAAACAAATAAGCTTCTGGTAAGGGTTAACAATTTTTTTCGTTTACTACATGTACTTAACAAAATGGCCTGATGGCATTATTCTGGACAGTAGATTAAAGCTTGTATGCTGGACCTGGCTTGGTCGGTTGGAGTTAACAGAATGTACCCTTCAAACTGAACACTGTACACTGACTAACCACCTATGAGGACGATATCGGAACAGATATGAATTTATTCAATATTATTATTTAGTATATTCATTATTACTTTCTAAACTTTCTAAACTTTGTTGGTGTAGTAATTTGTCAAGTCATTTATCTTACTCGCCTGTATCAATCAGCTTAAAGCCAATTCTGTTGATTATTGCTCATTAAAGATTATTAGATCGGTTAATTTTTGAGTTTATGTTTCCCCTACGTCTATTTGTGCACTAATCACAGCCGTACCACGGATGCAAACACACAAACCATCCACGTTTCAAAACACCATAGTGACTCTTCCGACGACGATACTCGCATGCATGTGCTATACAGTGATCTACCACGGGATTGGCATCGCAAAGTGAAATCCTATGTGCAAAAGCACTGGGACTGTCACGGCTGTTTCGCCTCCATCTATCCTATACTGTTGGAATTGGAACGCGGGATTGGTCCCGGTTGGCGGTTGGACCGAATCCCCAATGGCAATGCAGTACGAATAGAGGCTTGCCCGAACAGTACCTTGAACTTCCACTTCGACGAGGAACCATACATTTATTCAATCTGGCGGGAAAAAGTTCGAGTATACTAATCAACTTGGTCTACAGTTTATCCAATGAGCGGTTGTTCTAACACAACCGCTTTTCTTTTGTGAATGCCAATGATCACCAAATACCGAGGAACCGTACTTAAATAGCAATAAAAATTAATTCCTTACTATTTTTTAAATAATAAAATGATCATTTTTGTTTTACTTTTTCCACCTAGTTCGGGAGAGTCTGGGTTTATCTCATGCATGTGCAAAACTTTCGTGGCCAAGGTACTAATCTTATTGATTTCCTCACCTCGAACCTTATAGCTTCCATGGATAATGTGCTGGTCTGAAGCAAATACTGAGACAACATTCTGTGAGCTCAACAATCAATCGCTGGCACAGTATGGCAACAAGCTTGGGGCAATATTCTGAAACTGAAAGCCAGCATTACACAATCGGCAAAATTAAACGTCTCTGTAGGTTGCGAGTCGGACTCTTGAGACGAAGGCTTCGGTTAGTGCTCAGGCAAACATTGGGTTGAATCACTGGTGTTTAAACTGCTATGTAAGTCAAATTACAAGCCACTCGATTAATCAACCCACATGCCCTTTTTCATTTAGCCGTATTCAATTCAGTTCAGTCGAGGAGCTGTTTTTGTCAAAATATTTCAAACATTCAATACGCGCATACGCTGTCTTCANCTGTCTTCAAAAGACGCATACAATATCCAAACTCAGTTATCCCTATGCGTCACCCGGCTCCGAACCAATCCATACGCTCTAGTTTCCGTGTAAAGTAATATTCTCGTCGAATGTACTCTCACACTATTCATAAAAATAAGGGGCTTCGCGAAATTGATATGGATGAAATAGTACAATATTCTGAGTTAATTATGCAGCAAGATGCATGATTGCATCCTAACACCGTTGGTTGAACTCGATTTCTATCACATGCACCAAGTGGATGGAACCTGCGCACTACGCAATTGCGGTTGTGGTCTAATAACGCAGACCAAAGGTTCTTTGAGTGAGTCGACAAAATGATCTTCACAAACAACGCAAGACACCTCGTGTATTTCAGTAGAATGCAAACAAAGTTTTCCTAGTAAACGTCATTCGATTGGAGAATCAAACATTTGCATCTACTTTTTTGGTACAATCTCAGACATAAATAATTGTCTGATTTATTTCTCTCAGAACTTTCTAACTAAACTGAATGCCCCTTTTATCATTTATGGCGGTCTTAACCTTGCTTATGGTGATCCCTTTACCTGCCTCTCTCTTCACAACTGCATAAATTTACCACCAGGCGGAAACGCACACCCTGACAATATGTACAAACGATCCTGATATATTTTGCTGTACAAAGAGGAACTCCTCTAGAAAAATCCAATCGTTTAGTCGTAAATAACTTGCGCACTGACAAGAACGTCAAGCAGGAAGATGTTTCACAGGTTGTGCTATCCGGTACACTTGGAGTCACAGAGAGATATGGGCCCTTAGAGAAACATTGATCACTTATGTGACCCAAGGGTCTCAGGCGAATGTGAACAACTCACTGGCTAGTTGAACTTCTGATTTGATCTCACTAGCTCCGTGGTCCCTATGAACATTATTCCTACCAGATTTTTGTCCCTCCTTCCGAAGTTCATCCGACATATTACGAAAAGAGCATAGAAAAACCACTATTTAACTTTAGTAAGGAACAAAACTGAGATCTGAAATCATGATAGGAACTACATTGAAACCCTACTTGGTGATTAATCTGTGTCCATCACTACGAGACTGCACCTTGACGTGGTGTGATGGTTTGCGTACCTTCATGACCCTGCGAGCTATACAGGATGGCTCCTCACAGCCGCAGGTCCAAGCATGCCTGAAAGGTCAACGGGTAGAGGCCAAACGAAGATCAGTCTCACAAGCCAGCTGCTTGGGCACCTCCTGGCTTCCTTCTATCCACACCCGTCCCTGGAGAGGTCACTCCAGCAAATAAACACTGTGAGGGGTAGTTTACCGGTCAAAATAACTTCCTTAGATGGACGTAGGAGCGCGGTACCTGGGGCTTACTCTCGACGGTGGGAGAAGTCTTCGCACTTCATTGGACAGCTACCGCTCGCCCGAGCTGCGCAGCCCCCAGCCAATAAGGTGCTGTCCCGTCCACGTTCCGCTTGTCTCATTGGGTGCATGAGGATAAAGGCCGATCCCGAACAGCGAACAGATAATCAACGCACCAGCGAACAACACAACTAATCGAAATTCAAAGGCCTTGCGTGACAGGTCTCTAGAAGCTCTCGTATGGGTGCTTCATTCACGCTCCCGCGTTGGATTTACGTCCCACTGCTTGCGAGTCAGACGTTTGAGTCAAGGGCTCCGGCTACGTTTACCAAAGAAAAACCCACAAATTCCCGCTGGCCTGCGGGTCAGACTTTTGAGTCAAAGACTCAGGTTAGGGCTCCCAAAGAAAAACCCCTTCCTCGGTGTGGGCTACCGTGAAGTATGTCATGCCCTAAAGTCGTAGGGACTCATTTGGAAAATCCTCCTTCCCATCTATCTGGTTCTTTCTCTCAACCCGGAATAATCCCAAACACCTGCTGTTTACAAGACCCATCATATATCACTCAGCGTTTTACCATCAAGGCCAGAGATTCAGAAGCTAGAGGATTTTTAAAGCCAAAATCCCCTTTTCACTTTTCCGCGCTCAATGTCCGCATACTCTATCAGATCGGTCGACAAGCTGCCTTAGCTAGAACCGTTGAAACTTTCAATTTAGGTATACGTTGTGTCTCCGAAACACGCATACAAGACCCCAATTCGATTATCTTCCTACGTTCTCCTGATCCAACCTCACGCTTCACCCTACGTGTGTCAGGCGATTTGACGTCCGAAGCTCGCAGTGTTGCTGGTGTCGGGATTGCGCTAAGTTCCAAGGCTGAACGCTTGCTTCTTGAATGGATTCCAGTCAGTAGCCAACTGCGCGCCGTACGTCTCAAAGGTTCACCGCGGGTCAACAGCTACAGAACGAAGCGTCGATGTCTATTCATCGTGTCGGTGTATGCACCGACCGATCGCAGTATACCTGAAATCAAGAATGAATTCTACAAGGACCTTTCTCGATTAATCCAATGCGGTTGGTTGATCAACGGATATCGCGGTAAGCGCCGGAGACTTAAATGGTCAAGTGGGATCCCTGGACGAATCAGAAAGGCTTCTCGGCGGACCGCATGCAATCCCAGCCAAACCGGACGAACAACGGCGATCGTCTACTTCAACACTGTGGATCCGGGATGGTTCCTATCGAGCACCAACTTCTCGCACAAGAAACGACACCACCTTACATAGAAACCACCAACCTCTTCACAGTGCTGGACCCAAGTCGACCACATCGCCATCAGTTACCGAGGGAGGGGATCGCTTCAATGCTGCGCTCTTAGTGGTCAACACCTGTGGATACGGACCACGCTTTGCTCCGAACTAAATTCTCCTTACGCCTGGCAAGCAACCGTAATAAAGCCACCGAAAACGGATACCTACGACACAACGTCAGCGATTGTTGCAAATCAGCCTTTAAAGCGAAACTCTCCGATCATCTGTCAGTTCAAACACCAGCAAAAAGATTCGATGAACACTGGAAGCAAATCAAGGAGGCTATGCAAATATCAATAAATACAACATCAAATCCTCACGCAGTCTCAAAACATAAACGATGAATTTCAGCGACCTCGGCTGCCCTGCTTGACGCCCGCAGCACCCTTCCTCCCGATGCCGTATATGACACAGCGCGCAAATCCCTCAAACGCCACCTCATCAAGAGCCTGAGGAATGACCGCGCGAAGTGGTGGATAGGAAAGTGTAAAGAGATTGAGAAAGCTGCGGCTATTGGTAATAGTCGTAACCTTTTCCATCTAATTAGGAATACGGGTCC